AGCAGCAAAACTGGGCGAGCTCGTCTGACGACGATCACAATCACTGCAGCCAAATCGCCGCACATGGAAGGCGTGGTCTGACAGTTGGGTGGCACTGACGATTTCACAAACCGCGACATGCGAAGTGCGCTGACATCCGAACTCGGCAGAGATCGAAGTCCTTTGAATGCCTGGAATGCATGTGCCGAAGGGAAGCCGAATTTTTCTTGCATCGACTCCGGCGCTCAGAATTGTCCCTGTAGAAAACGGAGACACCCCTCCCCTTTTTGCTTTTTATAGTTTTGTAGTTGGACGTTGAAGTCCATAGCAGCTGCCAAAGTCAAACCCCTTTACCTTTTTAAAGGCCTCCGCAGATGGAACTCAGTTGCTGCAAAGGGCCTTGGCCCGCCCACCCGTCGCTCCCGCAGGTAGATGAAGAGGGTAGGTACTGCAACCGTGTTGGCGGTTGTTTAGCGTCGAGAGGCAAGTCCCTCAAGGTGCGTGTCAGCCGACACTTGAGTGTCGAATGAGACCCTCGATAACGCCGAGGGCCATGGCAGTATGGACAGCATATAACATGCCATCGCGTCGATAGTTTGCGAACTCATGCATGGTGAGTGTTTATGAGGAAGCCTGTAACGCGACCCACATTAATAGATGTCTACCCAGCGCTGCCTGGAAGTGGTCGGCTATATTTGGTTATGGGCCGGACACGCCACGGGCCAGACGTGAATCTTTGTTGTTAATTTATCGACACATTTTTGTTCGTCTGTTTCGCCCAGCAGGACGTGTCCTATGAGGAGTAAGACGTGCGCAAGGGACGGCCGAACTGTCGAGGACCACAGAAGTCAGCCGGGATCCGAACTTCGCAGATTTCGAATCGACGGCCAACCGGTTATCAACGGGTCGCAGTGAACAGACTATCGGCCAATCGTCATAACGAACTGTCGGCCAATCGTCATAACGAACGGAAGGCTAGGAGAGGCAGGAGACAAAAGAAAACATGGCTTAATGACCCTCAGCCGACCCCCGCAAACCCCGAGTAACTGCACGTCGATTCGGAAGTTGTGTGCTCGGACTCAAAGCCTTTGCAGCCCGCGCGGCTTCGACACCGCAGCGCCTTCGCAATGTCGACACCCTACTGCGCGAACCGCAAAGCACGCCGTGGCAGAAGCATGACAACGACCAAACCACACTCATCGCGACGATTCCTTTTATTGGAGGGCAACGAAGATCGACGGCATACCGCAAATGGACCCCACCACTGACACCGTCATCAACCCTAATAAACCCCTTTTAGGGCAATTCACAAGGCGAGCTATGTCGCGCACTACTAGGACGCCGACACCGAAGACGGACTAGGAAGTCCAAGCTGTTCAAAACAACTGACAGATTCACGCGGAGCCTCAAAGTTCGCAGGGATCCGAATTTGGCGGGTGGTGGAGTAGCAAGGAACCTGTTTTCGCGCGGCCGGTGTTAGTGGAAGGGAGCGCCAGTGGGTGCACACAAGGAACGCCATGTTTGGGTGCACAGAAGGAAGGCTGTGTTGTCGTTGAACGAAAGCACGCGCGGAACAAAGGGTAGTGGTGGATGCACCACCACACAATTCGGCGCAACGCGACCCCAAACTGACCCCTATAAACATCGATTTTCACCATCATCTAAGCGAGCGCGTGCGGTGTTCCATTCACTAATGCAAGAGCTTATCGAACTCGAGCATCTCCACTGTGCAGACAAGTAAAATGCAGAAATGGATGAAAGATCCCCCTTGCAACCCTTCCAAACATTGATTCGGCCAGTCGAGAAGGCGACCCCAGACTCGCGCGCCTGAAACGTCGACGGGAGACAACGCGAACCGCGCAACACGCAGAAACACAAGCATGTCTACGACAATACTCCTCGCACCGTGACGACCAAAACCCTTGGGGGGCAACAAAGATCGAGGGCGCGAAAAATTGCTCACCTTCTGAAATGCCCTTGAAGGGGTTTATGGGGGTTGCTGACTGCGACAACGACCGTGTCCCTTATTTTCGGCAACCCCCATGAACCCCTTCAAGGGCTATTCAGAAGGCGATCAATTTCTCACACCCGCAATCCTATCGCAATCAACTCACACTCGAAGCTCCAAGCGTCATGCGAATGACGGATAAATTTGCGTCGATCCTCAAAGTCCGCCAGGATCCGAACTTGGTGGATTTGCCTGCATCGAGTAATAGGTTTTCGCGCGGCTGCAGGTATTGGAACGGGTGGATGGCTTTTGCACATAAGCAGGCGATGCTCGACCGCACCGCATTTGGGGGCGGCGATGAACGAAGATCCACGACACACGGGAAATGGACCCGGCCAGTGACAGCGTCGTCAACCCAAATAAACCCCTTTCAGGGCAACTCACAAGGCGGGCACTTTTGCGCACTACCAGGCCGCCGGGATCGAAGACGGAATGGGAAGTCCAAGCTGTTGAAAACAACGGTCAGATTTTCGCGGAGCCTCAGAGTCCGCCGGGATCCGAATTTAGTGGGTGCTGGAATAGCAAGGAACCTGTTTTCGCGCGGCCTGTGTCAGTGGAAGGTAGCGTCATAAGGTGCACTGAAGGAACGCTTGTTGGTGAACGATAGCACGCGCAGAAGAAAGGGTAGTGGTGGATGCACTAGCACACAATAGGGCGCAACGCGACCCCAAAATGACCCCTATAAACACCGATTCTCACCATCGTCCAAGCGAGCGCGTGCGGTGTTCCATTCACAGGCACTAGTGCAAGAGCTTATCGAACTCCAACAACTCCACAACGCAGAAAAGAAAAATGTACAAAAGGATGAAAGATCCCCCCTTCGACCCTTCCAAACATTGATTCGGGCAGTCGAGAAGGCGACCCCCGATTCGCGCGCCGGGAACGACGACGTGTGACAGCGCGAACCGGACAGCACGCAGAAACACAAGCATGTCTGCGACAAGACTCCGCACACGGCGACGGTCAAAAACATTGGGGGGCAACACAGATCGTGGATGCAGAAAATTGTTTGCCTTCATAAATGCCCTTGAAGGGGTTTGTGGGGGTTGCCGACAGTGACAATGACCGTGTCCCTTATTTTCAGCAACTCCCATGAACCCCTTGAAGGGCATTTAAGAGGGCGATCAATTTCTCGCACCCATAGTCCTCTTGCAATCAACTCACACTCGAAGCTCCAGGCGTCATGCGAAGGAGGGTTAGGTTTGCGCCGTCCCCCAAAGTTCGCCAGGATCCGAACTTGGTGGATTCGCCTGCATTTGGAACGGGCGGATGGCGTTTGCATAGAAGCAGGCAATGCTCGGGCGCACCGCATTTAGGGGCGTCGATGAACGAAGATCCACGGCACACCGGAAATGGACCCGACCAGTGACACCGTCGTCCACCCCAATAAACCCCTTTCAGACCAACTCATGAGGCGAGGAGTTTCCCGTACTACCAGGCCGCCGGGATTGAAGACGGACGGAGAAGTCCAAGCCGTTGAAAACAATGGTCAGATTCACGCGGACCCTCGAAGTCCGCCGGGATCCGAATTTGGCCGGTGCTGGAGTAGCAAAGAGCCTGTTTTTGCGCGGCCGGTGCCAGTGGAACGGAGCGCCAACGGGTGCACACAAGGAACGCTATGCTTGGCCACACAGAAGGAAGGCTCTGCCGCTCTCAAGTTGTCGTTGTACGACAGCACGCACAGATGAAAGGGTAGTGGTGGATGCACCACAACAAAATCGGGCGCAGCGCGACCCCAAACCACGAAGTCCGCCCGGATCCGAACTTGAGATCGGTTGCCACGTTCGACCGGGAGTATGAAACACTTTGCTTTTCTTGGGGTCCCACTGAAATTTGCGGCACCGCCTTCGAAAGAACAGTCATGTAACCAGGACTCTGAGCAGCTCGCGACTTCGCATGCTTGGGATCGCAAGTCCGCCGGGATCCGAACTTCGTCGCACGCTGACAACTGGCAGGGTGTTTTCATACCTGCGCACGCTCTCCCTGCGTCGGGATCCGAACTTCGTCGCACGCTGACAGTCGCGTGTGAAAGCTTGCCGAAAAGGGAACTTCGGATGCCGGCGAACTACAACAATCATGCACTGTTTTCATACCTGCGCGTGCTCTTCCTGCGACCGCGCGACGGCAACTGATTGCCGCTTTCGCAAGAGCAGTGCGCATGATTGTTGTAGTTCGCCGGGATCCGAACTACCCAATTCGCCAGGCAACAACACGCCACACACCGTTTTCTGTTTGGTTGTTGTTGGTTTCACGCTTGCAGTCACAATGGCGACCCCCCTTGCCCCGTTGACTGAGACGTTTCCCGGAGGCGCCCGGGTTGTTCGTTATTGAACGAGGCCATGTTTTCGTGTTGAGGTTATCGTTACGAAACATGCGGCGCTAACGCCGAAGAAACGCTATCGTCATTGTAGCGAGCGGCGTTGGCGTTCTCCATCGCGCGCACCCGACGTGTGCATTCTTCGTTTTGGAGCCAGCGGATGTTGCACGCACAGTCCTGGCATTCGTCGTGCGGAATGTGCTGTCGAGTCCTCACGACCAGCGCCAGGAGCGCACGCTCAACATCTACGGCCTCCATGGCGGATCATGTGCACGTTGTGTGCGCGGGATGGCGACGACAGAAGCTCTCCCGGGATTGACTCCATAGTCTCTTCGGGGAGGGAGGCTCAAGTGTTGTGGCGAGAACACGAACACGGAACGATGAACCCCTCCTCTTTATGAATACCATCCCTCTCACTGCACGCCACGTGGACGGCGAACATCCTTCGCACCGTGGCCGCCCACGCGACGCTTAATACCAACACTGATCGCGCGCAACCCATGTCGCACCTGCTTGTTGCTCACCAACACCGCCGCGACCACTGCCCGTCCTTGCTGGCGCAGTTGTGATAACCAACGTGTAATCTGTTTCATGAGAACAACAAACGTGCGAGGGAAGTGTTTCGAGGGGGTTTCGTGTTCTGCTGGGAATAGGCGATTTTGTGTTTGCCACAACCACGCGGGAGTGTATTGCAAT